ACTGTAAAATAAACCGATGGGTGGGGTTATAGAAGGCATTTTTTAGAATATAAACCATTTTATTAACTCCCTTTAAAAATATCCTATTTTTTTTCCCCTCCTGAATTAAGTTTCTTCCTTGGGTAAAAGTTTTTCCCCAAAGATAGATTTGCTTCAGCCACTTCCTTGTCTATGACATAAAGAAGGTAAACACGTCACAGCTTTATGAGATCATCTAGTTACATGTGACAGGCACTGTGTGTGCTCGGCAATTTTATCTGTGCTGTCTGATAGCTCTGGGCTCAGAGGAGTTAATTACTTTGCTGAAGGCCACACAGCTAGTAAGAAGGAGATTCTAACCCAGGTATGCCCAACTCCAAAACCTATTCCTTTGTCCCCACAGGACCTGCCACCTGGGTGAGCGCAGAGCCCATTCCCTTGAATTTCTTCCTCCTTTGCCGCTTGTTCACACATCTCAGTGGGAGCAACTATCAAAAGGAAAGGAGGCCAAAACTGTCAAGGCCATGAAAAACAAGGAAAGGAAAGACTGAGAAACTGTCACAGACCAGAGATGGCTAGAAGTACATGACAGCCAAATGCAACGTGGTACTCTGGGATCAGAAAAAGAACGTTAGTAGGGAAACTGGCGATATCCAAACAAAGGCTGGAGTGTGTTGTTGCAATAGCCAGGTCCTAAGGGGTCTCTCACTTTCCCTTCTGCTGCCCTGTAATCCATTCTTATACTTTCAGAATCATCTTTCCAAAGCCCAAATCTGATCGTATTTCTCTCTCCTGCTTATGACCTTCTGTAGCTCCCCTCGCCCTCAGGGCGAAGTCCAGACTCTACTTCCCTGACTCTGCTCCCGCCTCCCTGAACCTGCTGCTGCTCTCAGAATACGTCATGCCCTCTCCACCCTTTGGACCTTTGCTTGACACATGCCCTGTCTGTCGACACTGACCTGCTGGCCTGCGGTGAGAATTAAGCAGATCTCTCTTTCCCGACTCAGCGTAGATGATAAGGAAGCTCTCCAGGAAATCCCCCTGATGCCCTCACTCCCACACTTGGGTGAAGTCCCCTCCCAGAGTGCCCGTAACACCCTGTAATCAATGCTCATCACAATGTTTCTGATTCTGAATCACATCACATAGCATATCGCTTGCCACTTTCCTCTCTCCCCGCTGAGTCCCTGCTTCCCTGAAGGCGGAGTGTGTCCTCAGACCTGGCATTGGACGTCACTGACTCTCCTCGTGAGCTCAGTGAGCTCGGTCCCCTTCGCCGCTTTCTCTGAGCACTCAAGGAAAAAGCGGCTGGTGCTAGTCTGTCTTCTGCACTCCCTGCCGCTTGTTAATCTCTCTATTTTTGAACAATACCAGATCAGGTCTAGGCTGGATGCTTGCAGGAAGCAACAGGATCTAGCTTGAATTTAGTGCCGCTTTGTTTTCCTTGTATGTTATTATTTATGGAATTCTATTTATGGAAAGCAATAGAAGTTTTGCTTCTATATAGATTAGTCATCCTTTATAAAATAAATGTATATGAATAAAGGAAGTAAATCAATTAAGTGAAAGTTTGGCAGATGGTTCTTCAGGTGCGTATGATGAGAAATGCATGTATACACACACGTGCATACATACAGATGTGCATATATACATACAACTGTGAAGGTGGCCTTCAAAGGCAGAAATCCTGTCATTTGTGCAACTAAGTCCTTGGCTCTTGAGACCCCTAGTACTGCTTGCTGTCTTTGCCACTACCTACCTATGTGTCTGGGAGAGAATTACTTTTCTGTTTCTCAGTTTACTCACCTGTAAAAAGAAGAGAATAAAATTGGGCTCCAAAAATATATAATTTCATCTCTCAAATAACATTTCTCATCCAGCTCCTACGGTATGGAAATAACATTGCTGAAAATGAACCCGGAGATGAACTTCTTATTTTAGAGATCAAAGAGCTGAGGTGTGTGGAGGTTAAGTGACTTGCCCAAGGTCACGCTGCAATTTAACATCAAAATCAAGACCAAAATCCAGGTTCCCTCTGGTGACCTGCCCCCCAATCCTGACACCCTGCACCCCTGCATACTCCTTTCCCCAGGTAAACTTCTGTCAAATACGTTTCATTATATTTACAAAGCACAGCAAATTCACATACACGCATACAATATAAAGGCATCTTAAAATAACACAGAAGCAAATAAGTAAAGGGTAAAAGCCATACTAGATTTCAGTGTTAATACTATGGAGAGGGAAGTAGTGTACCTGAAAGCTGAGAAAACATGTTACAGGGTTTTCCACAATGTTGCAATTCCTTCCTTGTTCTTTATTTAGATTAGATACGTGGATCCAGGAGCCATGCAACCCCAGGAAATTTTAGAGGGAGGATTAGAATAAAGAGAGCAACCAATTCATCTTCGGCTATGATATATGCACAGTAAACCTGCTTAAATGGGGACCACATCCAATCATTCTCTGTGGATCATGAAAAAAGTAGCATCGAAAGGTGTCCCAAGGGGAATACTCAGTTCACATTTTTAAAATGAGATTTTCAAACACTTTTTAAAGACTATTTTAGCAAACAACTTACATATAGGATGTAGTGGTTGCAATTATATAGCACAATGCTTTTGTCATTTAAAAAAACGTAATCTCTACCCTTGTCTTTGGAAAGCATGCTAAGTATTTTTATAATGGACCTGGTTAGAGGCAAATTTACCAGATTTACAGGTGAATCAAAGTGCACAGAACCCAAGAATTGTAACCAAAACCTCCAATGAAATACAAAATGGATAGACACAATGTCCTTCACATATATGTGTGTGTGTATATGTATATGTATGTTTATGTCTATGTATATTTGTAGCAATTGAGAAAGATCTAGCCAAACAGCAGTTCACGTCAGAAGACATAGAGGTTTCCACTGATTATTAAGCTCAGTGTGAGCCCAGGTAAGATCTGGCTGCTGGGGAGAAGAAAAAGCTCAATACAAAGATAAAACACAACATTAAGTTACATTAAGTACAGTAACATCCCTCCGTACTCTTCACCCACCCGCCAGTATCAAAGTCCTGTATCAAAGTTACAGAAACTGCCCTTTCAGAAGAACAGGAGCAAATCTGGCCAGAGGAGAAGGATCTGTAGGTGGGAAAAGGGAGGGAATGTGTAACCAGAGCCAGACAGGGAATGGCTCATGGCATGGGTTCCAGGGCCACGTGAGCCTTCTTCAAATATTAGATGTGTAACTGCTCTGGCACGCATGTGCCCCTGACGGTCTCCTGGGAATGTTGTTGAAAGGACTCTGCATGGGCAATTAGACTGGCAGCCTCAACCACAACGTCCGTTCCAGCTTGGGGATTTTATGGTTTGCTGTGGCAGCAAAGCCACCTCTGTTTTACATGGTAGTATGGTTAGATCCCTTCATTTCCTTCCTGGGCAAGAATACTCTCTAGAGTAGAGAGTATTTGACAACCAAGCAAGCCCCTAAGAGAAAATACGTGCTGATGTGTAGACAATCTTGGTGCCTAGAAGATGCAATGGTGACTCAACTCACCATTCCCATCAAACCTCGCCACACAACCAACCATCTGGTCAGCCTGAGAAGCTAGAAACTAGGAGCAGGTGATCTGACGGTACCCTCTGAGCTGATGGGCGGCAGGTGGAGGGACTGTGTGTTCGCACACTTCAGAGCAAACGTGAACCACCTGCATGAGGACCTGAGTTGCTAGCTAAAATGCATGTTCCTGGGTTAAACCCCAGACCTACTGAATCAGTCTTATTAGGGGTAGGAACCAAAAATTCATGTTCAACAAGCTCCCCAGGTGATTCTTAAGCACACTATCTGGGAACCTCTAGAGCAGTGTTTCCCATACTTTAGAGTGCATTGGAACCACCTGGAGGGCTTGGGAGAGTGAGGGCTCCGGGCTCCAGAGAGTCTGACTCAGAGGTCTCAGATGGAGCCCCAGAATTTTCATCTGGAGCAATCTTACCGATGATGCTGATGCCACTGGTCAGTGTACCCTACTGAGTTCACCACCTTATAGGATTCCTGATTCCATCATCAAAGAACTCGGATGCTATGGTAGGTAGCTTCTGCAATGATCCCCTCCTCCTGGTTTTCATGCCCTTGGTAAGCACCTCCCCTTTTGTGGAGGCCACACCTAGAAACTCACTTACTATGAAAAGAACAGGCAAAACGAAGGGGAGGTCATTTCTGCAATTAGGTCATAAAAGACAGTGACTTTCTTCTCTCTCGCTCACTCACTCTGAACAAGCATGCTGCCACACTGAGCTGCCCCGTGGAGAGGCCCACATGGCAAGCAACTGTGGGTGGCCTTTGGGAACCGCCAATGAGAAACCAACTCCTGCCAACAACTCTGTGAGTGAGCTTGGGGATTGATCCTTCTCTAGATGGACTTGAGATGACTGCATCGCCAGCTGACACCTTGATTGCAGCCTTGAGAGCCACCCAGAGCCAGAGGACCCTGCTAAGTCATGCTTGGATTCCTGCCCTACAGAAACTGTGAGATAAATGTTGTTTCAAGCCACTCAGTGTTACACAGTGATGGGTAACTAACAGAAGGGCTTTGTAAAGGAGCTGCCCTGAGATCAGTAAGACCCTTGGTATCTTAACCCACCCTTCAAGTCTCCCATCTCATCTGTCCCTATCATGGAGGAGACAAGACGTGTGTGTAAATGTAAATGGACAGTATTTAATGATATACACTATTTACATGTAATTTATGTCATAATTTTCTTAAGGCTCAATTTCCAAGCCTTGGCCCTTGGAAAGCTTCCCTGGAGTTTCTGGGAGATGGGGAGGGACCACAGCCTGGTGGCAGGATGGAGACAGGGAATCCGAGTCAGGCCCACGCCCCATGCACTCCATCTGACCATGCTGAGGCTGTGTCTTTTGAGCCAAGAGCCTGGTGGATTCCCTCCTGCCAGTCCTCGCGAACATGAGGAGTGGCACCTACTTTGCTTCTGAGGAAAGAAAAAGGAGAAACTATGGGTTCCTCCACTGACGAGGGGAGGGGTCTTTCCCTGAGAAAATCGGTGAAGGGCACGATCTCTGATCTGCTTGCCTTTTCCCCAGTGCAGAGCCTGATTTCTTCACTGGGGGAAGGAAGGAAGGAAGGTTCCCAAGGGCAAGGTTTCTCATCTTGTCCAGAATTACGTGTTGAGAAAGTGCATTTCAGAGGTTATTTGTGTGGGAGGGCCACAGTCAACTGGAAGATGCTCCAGATGCAAAGCCCGGAGCTAGGATTTCCAACCGCCACTCCATCATCAACTCCCGTGTGGCCTGGAATGAGCCCTCTCCCTCTGGACTTGGTTCTTCTCTTTGTAACATGAGGGGCTGGGCCAGGTGGAGACTCGGCCCCCCTATTAGTACCTAAGAGCCTAAGGCAGCGAGGCAGTGCCTGGCCATGGCACTGGTCAGAGACGGGACCACTCTCCTCAGAGGGCCAGGCCCCCGCCACTCAGCCAGCGCGCCCTCTCTGAGGAGCACCCAGAGGTGCTGCTGTGCCACAGTGGGCTCCGGCAGACGCTGTCCAGCCTGTTCCTAATGGTGGCCTGCAGCTCTTCATCACCCAGCAGGACCGCTGCTGCCAGGGCCAGCAGGAAGTACTCAGTGGCATCGTGGGCATCCTAACCCCGTGGTATGGGGGCAAAGAGAGACAGCATTAGCAAATGCTCCAGGCTCCAGGCGGTGCTGGCAACTCCAGCTCTTTTCTGCCCAACATCCCATCCTCACTCCTGGCTCCTTAGGGGAGCTCCTCTCCCCCTCCACTGTGGCCCTTGTGGCTTCACTAATCACAGCGCCCTCCTTCTGGGCACAGGGGAGGCCCTTCACCCAGGCTCAGCCAGTCATGAAACCCCATTGCCCTGGGCACAGTGCTTCAGGGATGTGTGCATGACCCAAACCTGACCTACCTGTCACTCCCCGGGACTTTTCAGTGTGTAGAGGGGAAAAGGTCATGAAACAAAGCAAAGTAGAATCATAGAGATACAGAAAGAGGTGGGGAATCCATAACGACATGTGAGTATGGGATCCAGAGCTACCTGCAACTAAATTTGTACCTCAGCTTTCCAGTTCTTTCAGCCAATAAATTGCCTTTTTTGCTTAAAGTGGTTTGAATTGAATTCTTCCCTTTGCAAGCCCTAGAGCCCTTGGTGGATATAATCGGAGCACACACACTTTGTCCCTGGACCACTTCCTGGGAGCTGTGGGGCAGAGGCAAGATGGCCAGGGAGTCCCTCGCTACCCCTGTCCCTCCCTGTGTGGTAAGAACAGGGAGCAGAGGCTTCTTTGAGTGAGACTCAAAAGTCTGGCTTCCATTAACCCTCAATAATTAATTCAGGCCAGAAGTAAAGTCTGGCAAGTAAGAAAAGGACAGCAGAGCTGCCCTGAGAGTCCCCTGGGGGCTGAACAGAGGGTGACTCAGAAGCCTCTGTATTAAGAGATTAAGGCTTGTGCTGGAGAAGACAGGGACTTCTGGTAAAAGGGAACCAAACCTGGGACACCGTTGGAGGGTCCCAGTGGTAACAGAATTGCAGACCACCAACACAATTTTAGAAGTGACTAGAAAAATAAGAATTTCTGGATCCAACTGCAGCCCAGCAAGCAGCATCAGGGCTGAAACCTTCCTAGGATCTAGGCATACTTACACTCAAAGCCTCACACGCCGTTATCTCAAACAGTAACATACATTCGCATTTCTCATAAAATGTAGTTTTACATAACTTTATAAGAAATGAGTGGCAGTTCACTAGTTGCTCTGTGACATTTATGAACATACGATTTAGTATGAATTTTTATTTTAATTTTGGGACTTACAGGTCTTTTCTTTGGGGGTCTTATATATTTTCATAGGCCCTAGAGGGATTCACAGGCATGAGGCAATGTGCCCGTAGTACCTGATAAAGCAGCCACAGAAATTATAGCAGGACAAGGAGAAAGAGAAGCTATGATCTGTCTCCCTGCCAGGGACGGGAGCACCTTTGAGGTCCCCAGTGGGGCTAAGTGGGAAGAGACACTGTGATCGCTATGGAGCCACTCCTCACCCTATGAAACAAGACCCCAATCTCAACCCTCTGGTCCTCTCAACTCCACCCCAAAGCTTCCTCACCATGTTTTGATGAAGGAAGAGTATGGTTGGATGGCAGCTCTCACTTAACCTTGGAAGTTACATGAGAGGCTCTTACCTTCAGCTGGTAGAACGTGAGTTGGCCCAGGCGATAATACACCTTGGCATAGTACAGGGCCTCCTTGGGACTCTGCAGCCAGGGGGGACAGAGGGACAGAGTCTTCAGGTAGCAGTCCTCGGCCATCTCATACATATGCAGGGAGTAGTACACTGTAGCCAGGCGGTGAAAGGCCACCAGCTCCTGCTTTTGATCTCCTAGGAATTGGAAGACTGAGAGAGAGATCCTGGGGCCAACGCTTTGCATCATTCATTCACTCATTCATTCCATAAAACTTTTTGAAGGTCTACTAGATGTCAGAGACTGTGCCTGGGACATAAGGAACAAAACAGAAGAGGTCCCTGCCCCCATGAAGTTTATCGTCTCAGAGGACACAGACGTTCCTTAAACAATCCCGCAAACACATGTACAACTACACCTGTGATAAGTGCCACAAGAGAAAACACAGGGCTCTTCTAGGAGAGGGATTGAGTAGGGCGCGTGCGCTAGTCAAGGTTTTCTGAGATGAATCCCTGAATAAAATGTTCCCCTTATTGCAGATGCCATTATAACACTGGATTCCAGGAATGACTTATTTTTATATCCCTGTAAGGGGATGTGGTGGTAAGACTAGCTTGACTGAGTAGCTAAGAATTCCTTCCAGTGAGTAACTCTGTGTAACAAGCATCTTCCCCACATAAAAGTCTCTCTCCCCAGAGAGTTCTCTTGGGCTGCCACCAAGTAGCTGCCACCAAGTAGCAGTCACTCCCTAGCCCTTTACCAGCTCTCGGTCTCAGATAAGCTACAGAGACCCGTTGCACTTTTAAGCCATGCTTTAGAATGTTGGTTTCTAATGGCCCTATGACTTGTTTTGGGTTTGGGTGGGTTTGTTGTTTTAATAACTAATCATTTTAATACAGAGTGACCTTTTATAGGGAACAAACACTTACAATCCTGTCTTTGGAGTATCTGCAAGGTGGCTGTTTGAGGCCATCTAAAATCATTGTTGTTAAACTTCAAAGGGTCAAAGCCAAGATTAAAAGAGAAAGTCCAAGGGAGAGAACATTCTCTGATATGGAAAAATGCAGTCATGGGGAAGTACATGCATAAAGGATGTGTAGCCTCCTTTCAGCTCCTGTCTAGGAAGGGATAAAAAATGCTCAAAGGAGCTGCCTGGGGCCACTAAGTCCTTTCCTGAGATTAGCAGACAGTTGCTCAGATGAGGTTTTCTGCAGTAAAGAAAAAGGTAGGAAAAAGAGAGAGCTCTCAAGCACAATTAGACACAATAAAGTCCACTACCAGCCACATTGGATGCCCTTGAAAATGCCCAGAAGTCCCTTCTAGAACCATCACAGAAGACTCCATTTACTCCTACATCTAATCAAGCCTTCTCTAATCAAACCTGTTTTTCCTCAAGCACCAGCATTGAAGATGAGGGATATTGGTTTTTCACTCTGCCTTTTCTCTGTTTTAATGATACATCGTTTCCCATTAGCTTTTGCTATAAATGCAAGGTATTTCAGGGAGGTTGTGAGTCAGGTTAATGGAAACCTGACCTTTATGTAAATTTCTATTCCATGGAAAAATAAGCTTTGACTAACAATCAACCAATTAAAAAATCTGGGCACAGTCCTTTTCTAAGGCGGACATCGCCTCTGCCTAGGATAAAATACCATTTATCTTACACTGGGGAACAAAACCAAACGTCATATAATAATTAGTGTGGCACAGGCAACACCTACTATGTACCGAGCACTGTGCTGCAGCCTTTGGGTGGATAATCATTGGTCTTCATAACAACTGCATGAGGTGGGTGCTATTTTTAATCCTGATTTGGCGATGACAAACTTGAGGCTCATGGAAGCTAAGCAGATTGCTTAATTAAGGTCTCCCTGACAGGGGGACCTGGGATTTGAACCCACGCAGTCCGACTCCAGTGCCCATGCTGCCATTGCTTTCTTGTCCATCCTTTAGTATCTGCCCCTCCCGTTCAAGGTGCCTGACAGAGGGGACCACCAACCTGTGACCGTGCTGAGCCTGGCAGCCAGCGTGGCAAATTCCAGAGCCTTCTCATAGCCTTCAAGGCTGATCTGCAGCTCCGTCAGCTTGTTGAAAATCCGGAGCTCAGTTCTCACCACCTTCATCCTCCTTGCTAAGGGAACAGCCCCAGCCTGGGAACAGAGGCACAAGGCACCTTAGTCCAGCTAAGAACCATCAGGACACACCACACACCAGGAGGCTTCTATTCTAGTGGCAGGGCTTGGGGGATGGCAGCGGACTAAAACAGGGGGGCAGCTGTGTCTCCTTGAGCGCCTTTTCTCAACTCGCTCTTCTGGTCTTTGCTCTTGGTGTTTTGCCCAGATCTCAGAAGTGGAAGAACTACAGGTCATCAGGCCTCCTAAAATTGGGGAAAGGGAGGTGGCTTTTCCCAAGGCCACATGGGAAGTTATTTGCCTCTCAGCTATGTGCTCCCTTAGCACCCACAGAGCTAATTTATGAAGTGCACAAACGAGTATGCACATAGTGTCTGAACATGCTCAATCAATGGTCATTTCCATTTTTTTTAATTTTTTTTTTTTTTTTTGAGACAAGTCTTGCTCTGTTGCCCAGGTTAGAGTGCCGTGGCATCAGCCTAGCTCACAGCAACCTCAAACTCCTGGGCTCAAGCAATCCTTCTGCCTCAGCCTCCCGAGTAGCTGGGACTATAGGCATGTGGCACCATGCCCGGCTAATTTTTTCTATATATGTATTTTTAGTTGTCTAGATCATTTCTTTCTATTTTTTAGTAGAGACGGAGGTTTTGCTCTTGCTCAGGCTGGTCTCAAACTCCTGACCTTGAGCTATCCACCCGCCTTGGCCTCCCAGAGTGCTAGGATTACAGGCGTGAGCCACCGCGCCCAGCCCATTTTTTTTTTTAATAATGATAGAATTTTAGGCAAGTCATTTCATCTCCCAGAGCCTCAGTTTTTTCATCTGCAAAATGTGTATGAAAATAGGCCCCTCTACAATCAGGGATGAGCTTCTTGTTCTCCCCATGCCCAGCTTAACTAACGCCTGGCACAGATGGAGTGCTTGGTAATGTTTGATGACTGAATAAGCAGCTGAACAAACACAGGAATGAATAACTAAACAAATTAAATTTTAGGATAAGATAATATGAGTTGCCAAATGTCAGTCGGTGATGAATAACATTCACAATTTTTGAGGTATCTTGCTTAATCTCTGGACATTTATTTAATTTGTACTATTTTTTAAATCAACTCTTTTATTTTCTTGCCTCATCTTTTGCAATAATATCTGTGAACTTACGGTTTGATGAACTGGTATTATACACTAACAATTTTTTTAAAATACGTTTTAACACATGCTTGATAAAAATATCTATGTATCCCTTTAAATAATCTCCCGCCACGCCACCAGTAGTAAGTGGGGCATACCGGTAAGCACGGAAGTGTGCTATAAACTGTAAAGTACCATGCACCCAAGAGATGTAATTATTATGGTGTATTAGCCCAGGAAGGATAACTTATCAAGCCTGACGATGACTGAGTTTATCAGATCCTTCCCTGAGCACCTCCTAGATTAGCGCGAGGGCAAGTAGGTGGGTGCCAGACAAGGAAGGGAGGAAAAAGAAATTCCAGCAAGAGAGGGGAGGAGAGACCCCCCCAGACCGAAGTCCAGTGGGGCCCTGCCCATGATTGTGCGGTGACTTACTCGGTAATATTCCACTGCAAGATGCCTGCGGCGGGTCCCATTGAAGAACACGTCACCTGCTTCTTCATAAAGTTTGAGAGCCAGAGAGGGCTCCTCTGACTTCAGGGCTGTCTGGATGGCTGCCTGGGTGGGACAGAAATGGCTGTTAAAAGCAAAGAGAAGGGCTTCCAGCCCTCCACAGGACTGGCAGGACCAAAAGGCAGATCGCCTCGCTAACCCTCTGCTCAAGTCCCCCAAATCCTGAATTGTCCTGCACATTCACAGTGCCGGAAAGAAGACAGAGAATCTCGAGTCTGGCATGTCCCCATCATGGTATGAGAGATTAGTCCTGGTGGCTAGAGATTTTTTTTTAGCAGTATATAGATAAACATTTTAAGTTTTCATAGTTAAATATTTATTTTAATGTGTTTTAGGAAAAAAGACTATTCATGCATCGAACCTGAGATTTCAGATAGTGTTGTGTAAGATAAGGCTAAGTGTAGAAAGCTAAGAAGACTTGAAGTTGAGTCAAGGAAAAATAAGTGCATAATGATATAAAAGGTACGTGGATATAGCAAAATGTTAAGCTGAATTTATAAATGACTGAAATTGAAAAACATGGATGTAATTCAACACCTACACTTTCCACATAGAGTGAGGCTCAGAAGGAAAATGGAACCTCCCCAATTCACAGCAATAATTACTGGCAAACAAATGCCAGTGTCTTCCACCCCAATACCCTCTCCTAGCCCCCACGGCCTCTTTATCTCTAGCAAGCTATTTCAAATTGCACCTCAACCCAACGTGATGAAGTTGCAAAGTGAAGAACATCCTGCTGTATCTGCTGCTCAGGTAGACGACCTCAAATAGCCTCAGGTGGAGAATGATTCACTTTATTGGGAATGACCCTGAGGAACATCAGTTAGGTGGCAGCCTGGGCTTTGGGCGGGGCCAGGGACCAGTTCTGACCAGTGACTACTGTTATTGCATGGGCAGCTGCACAGAGAGGGAGGGGCACTGGGATGCAGTCCTGGAGTCAGGAGGCTTTGCCATCACTACAATTAACAACCTGAACCCTCTCGGTTTCAGTCTCCCAGAGCATGAAAGGAGAAGGTCTACTCTCTGAAAACCCTTCCAGCTCTAAAATCCCAAGGCAGGATAGCGTGGGGGCTGAGAGCGAAGGCGCTAAGTCCAACTGTCTCTGTGTAATTCTCAGTGCCACCACCTGCCAGCTGTATCACCCTGGGCAAATTCTCAGCCTCTCTGAGCCTCATCTGTAAACTGCAAACTAGAATAGAAACTCCTACAGCACTTGCAATGAGGATTAAACTACATCGTGTAGGTGAAGTGTTTAGCAAAGTTTCCTGTCCTTAGGAAGCACGCAATGTTATGCAGCCTTTGCTGAGTCTCAGTAGAAGTCTGCATTTACTACTATGCAAGTGAGAGATGTATATAAATATAATATATAATATGTCATATATAGTATATAGGATAATATAATAAAACATAAAGAAATATTTTTATATATATATGCTTTTTCCTAATCCTTATGCTAAGAAATGGGGTTCCCCTTGAAGAAATTGAGGCCAGAGAGCTCATGTGGCAAGCCCAGAGTCACACAGTCCACAATCAATACCCGTGTGATTTGATCCTGGCTTTCCTCTCTTCGAAGCCAAGGCTTTTAAACTACACTATACCACATCTCAGATATTAAAAACATGTTAACAAACAAACAACAAAAAAAGACAGAACAGTGTTAATTCCCCACATACACCAACCTTGCTTCAAACTACAGTAAAACCCGGAAGCCAAGGTATATGCATTAAGATGGATATACTTAATGTGACAGGTGACATTACAGGTGACAAGTGAGGACAGTCTTCCAGAGCTCACATGTGCATAGGGGACCCAGGGACTGGCCCTTTGCTGCCTGTACTCAGCTGGCCAGGCCACCCTGGTTTCCATCATGTGTCCAGAAAGCAGCGCACTGTTGACCCACCCTCTGCAGGCCTGTCGTGGACATCACCCCCCTCCAGCTCCAGCTGGTCAGTTTGTAGGGTGCAGCTGCTTCCCCAAGTGGCGAAGTCAGCAGATCCCAGAGAGCTGTGTAGGAGGCCTACCTGCAGGTACAGCTCCACCAGCTCGTCCTCCTGCAGCAGGTAGTGGAGTCGCCCCGCCCCGAGCCAGGCCTCGGCGGCCTTGTCTCTCTCCCCCAGGTCGATGAAGATACGCAGGCTCTCCTTGATGCACGTCAGGGACCTCCTGAGGGACCTGGGGCACAGACAGGAACTTGTGAGGTGTGAGGGCTCAAAAGGGCCTCGGAGTTCACTCAGCACAGAATGAAACGGAGGGTCTGAGAGGGAACAACCACGTTCCAGATCACACAGAGAGGTCAGGGCCTGATTCAAACCCCAGCTCTGCCCCGATCAGCTGTGTGACCTTGAGCAAGGACAGAACCTCCCTGTGCCTTGGTTTCTCCATCCGTAAAATAGAAATATAATTGCCTGAGAGGACTGTCGTGAGAATTAAAAGAGATCATAAAGCTAGAGTGCTTACTACGGTGCCTATCACATGTAAGTACATAACAAATGTTTAAATATTAGTTGTCATCATTATTATTACTGACCCATGGCCCAATCAATCTTTCGACTGCACTATAATGTTTTTTTTCAAAAGCACATCACACGCACAGTAGACACCAAACGCGTATTTATTGAGTGCATGCACGAATTAGTGACCATAGAGGTAACTTCAACTCATCAAGAAGATTTTGATGCTTTGTTTAAAAAGAGAAATCAAAGTAGGGTGAAAATTTTAAAAGGTTGGTGCTTAACAGAGCACCGTTTAATTATCTGGAAAATCATATTATGTAGAAAACTCTTCCCCTGTGATAGGGATTAAAGAAGAAATGAGGCGTCGGTAACATATTCAGAATTTGAGAGTGGGAAAGAAGACTGGGCATCATCTAGACAGCAGTTCTCAACCCCAGCAGCAATCAGAGTCACCCAGAAGCTTTTTAAACATACACACAGCCAGACTCCCCAGTGTGCTGAAATGTCACACTAGCCGCGCCCCGGACTCTCTGGGGGAGTAGCTCAGGGTCCAAGCTCCCCAAGTGATTCTATTGTGCAGCTTGGACTTGCTGATCTAGTCCAACCCCCTTGTTTTATAGAGGAAACAGGCCCAGAAATGGGAAATGACTCACGCAAGGTTCACAGAACATTAGGAGGGGGATCCGGGGCCAGAACTCCCTTCTCCTGAGTCCCGGCCCAGGACTCCTTCCACAACACCCACATTTCTCAAAGCACGATTCATGGCCCACTCTCATCGGCGTTACCTGGGAAGCTTATTAAAAACACAGACCCCCAGAGCTACCTCAGACTGGCTGAATCAGAATCATTGCACTTGTAAGCCAGGAAGCAGAATTTCTAAGACACACCCAGGTTATGCTCACACATGCCACAGTTTGAGAACCACTGCACCGAATTATGCAACTCCTTCTAGAAACACTAATCATCATCAACCACATCTGTGGACGCTTAGGTAAAAAATCCCCATCAAACGTGGCTACTGCCTCATCATGAACCACCCAGCCCCCGTGTGCACTGAGATGAGAACAAGCATTGCCATTGACTCATGAGGTCCTGATCCTACTGACAATGAGGCAGCTCTTAGCCTTCCAGGCGTTGGGACCTTGTAAGAACTGAGAAAAAAGAACTCAAGCTTTCCCCACCGCCCTGCCCTTGACACAAGATTTATTGACATCCAGGATGGGCACTGCCCACCCTGTCCCAAGTATTAGCATGTGAAAGTTCTCAAAATTCTCAGCAGCAAGAATGTGCTGTGAGCTGAGGAACTCCACACCGTGCAGAGGTGGCCACCAATCTCCCTGGCTGAGCTGCAACAGCCACAGCCTCATTCACTATAGGAAGCCCTGCCCTTCTCTCCCCTGCTCCAGACCCCGGAACCTCAAGCAGGGTGAAGAGATTCCGCAGGCCTACCCTCCGCAGCTCTCCCCACGCTCACTACAACGGTCGATGGAGACAGCAGCCATAAATCTCATCCTGATCGTGTTTCCTGTTGTGTTTTTGATTATTAGCATTTGCTGTCCTTGGGCTATAGTCATTTTCTCCAGACCCTCGGGGAGCAAGATTTGGGTTATCACAGAGAGACCAAATCACAGAGCTGGCATTTGCTCTGTCTGAGTTCATTATGACTGTGGAAGAGAGGAGATCACTATTTCTCTCCAAAAAACTTGTGTCATGAGGGAAAGACAAGACTCGCAGAGACCTGGCTCCTCACACAGCACCATGACACTCCCTGCAAATGCAACCACCTCTCGAAACCTGATCCATGATCTCCAGTAAAACGCAAGTGCTTTTGTGGTCTAGAATCGGGAGGTGGCCCCCAGCTTCCTTGGTTCTTTCTTATCGCCACTCGCCACCCCATTATTTTACCTCTGCCAGTGGCCATGCGGTGTCCCCCACCAGCTGAGCCACCGGCTTGGCCTGGAAGGGTCCAGCAGTCCAACCCCTCCCAGCCACCCCCCGCCGGCTCTGGATCTGGTTCAGAGTCCAAATCAAAAGGAGTAAGGGGCGTGCCGGTGGGCCAGCATGCAGTCAGCCTTGAGCACAGCTGGGTCTCCTGCGCCTGTGCCCCGCCATGCCAGCTCCTCCCCTTTCCAATCTTGATTCTTCTCTTCTTCTCATTTTTCCGGTCCCCAAGTTCAGTCTCTGGGGCTGAGTCTTTGTTTCTTCTTTCCCGGCTGATACAGAGCCATGGGCCTGTGGCCAAGTGACCCCAATACACCTGCATTCCTGGACTTCCTCCTACCAACCCCTGCTGGGGTTTCCCAGGTCCCTGCCCTGCTCGGATGAGTTTGTCTGATCTCTGGCCAAAGCCCAGCCCCCACTAATTGTTCTTGTCCTGTTTTGATAATAAGAACTGCCACTCACGGAGGGCTGACCCTGTGCCAAGTGTTGGGATATGCACTTTCGGTATACATTATCTCATTTAATTCCTATAGGAACACTAAGCCTTTAGAGATCTTAGCCCATTTTGCAAATAAAGAAACCCAGTGGGGTGGGTTCTTTTTTTAACTTACCTAAGTTTCCCTGCACATTTCTGAAGCTTTATTTTGAGCTCTCTGCTGCTTTTCCTTGCAATGGTAACAATGGCAGTATTGTTACCTGACATTTATTCAGCATTTAGTGTGTACTAGGTGCTTTACATGCATAATCTCATTTAATCATCATAGCAGCCCCAAGAGATCAGTACTACTATTATATACATTTTATAGATGCAAAAATAAGGCTGGGAAAGAGTGATTTGGACTGTGTAATAAACCCTGTTTAAACTGGGATCTAACCTTAGGAGTCTGACCCTAGATCCCCCACATTCAGCCCCACAAGCAGTTCTTAATTTCTGGCTCACATATCAGCACGTGGGAAGACTTTTGCTTTCTTTTGCCACTCTAAAAGCTCTGAAGTTTTTAAGGACATACACTATTTTAAACCTTGAACAAAGTTTTCTCATCTGCAAAACTGGGGTGGTGGAGTATATCATAGCCTTGTGACTATATGAAGACATATTGCAAAAGCAATTCTTCCCTTATTTAGGATTACAAAAGTGTTAGGGATTAGCATATTAGTTATATTATTATACAAAACCAAATATCGAAACATTTTTTTCAGTTCTGTAGCAGTAAGAAGCATAAGTATAAGAATAAAAGCCAGGAATAATGGCTTCTAGGCTACTATTATACTCACATGCAAAGAATCAATCGTTATTTCATGAGGACCTATTACATGCATGGCATTCCTTCTTTCTAATAATAGTATTGTGCATATCCTTTGTGGCACTTACCACAATATATATGATATCTTTGGTGACTATATAATGTTTATTACCTGAGCTATTCTGTTAGCATTGTGAGCTCAGAGACCGTATCTCCTTTGTCCAGCTTTCAGCACAGTGTCTGGGCCATAGTCAATGCTCAGTAAATGTTAGTTGCATTGATTCAATAGAGCCACAAAGTTCTCATGGACCCCAACGGGCTCAGCTCTAGAACAAGGTGCCAGTCTGTGTTATATCACCTGAAGACAGAAGATAAGACCCCCAAAGATCCCTTCCATTGAGAAACTGAAAAACTTTATCAAATTAGATTCTGTAGTTGTTACCTGGAAGGCAGAGAGGACATGACCCTGAAGGTATTAGACAAGGGAACAGCAAAGTGTCCCAAGGAAAAAACCTGAAGGCAGGGACAAAGTTTTCAATATCTACTTGCCCTTCTCTGCCATCCCCACCTCTAAACCCCAGAGAAAACCTTTCAAATAGGAGGAATTAAAATCAGTAAAAAGGCAGCATGGGATAGTAAAAACCACCTTACGTCGAGGAGTCATGGGTCTGAGCTAACACCAGTGAAACCAAGTGGCATCATCAGTCTGGACTCTCTGTAGCAGGCAGGGGTCAGCCCTGATAAAAAATGAACCAATCTTATCCATACAATTCCGTGAGGTTTCACTATATAGCCATCCACACCTAGTGTGGATCTAGGGTGAGAATTATTGCCTGGGCAGGCAGAATATATACAGAGTGCTTAAGAATATGCATCCTAGATCAGGGGTTGGCAAACTATGGTCCATGGGCCAAATACAGCCTGCTACCTGCTTTTATAAATAAAGTTTTATTGGAACACAGACACACTCATTCATTTATGTGTTGTCTATGGCTGTTTGCATGCTACAACTGCAGAGCGGAGTAGCTGTGACAGAGATCATATGGCCCACAAAGCCTAGAACATTTACTATCTGATCCTTTATTAAAAAGTTTGCTAACCCTGCTCTGGACTCAGACTGTTGGGGTTTCAATCCCTGCTACGTGGCCTCATACAAGTTATTTGGCTTCTTCAGCTCTCAATTTCCACAACTCTTTCTTCCTCTTGAGGTTATCCTGAGATTTACATATTGCTTAATAAACGAGGCATGCTCACTGAATGCTCTCTGTTACCATCATGACCATTGTTCTCATTACAGGTGTTCACTGCGCCGGTCCAGAAGCCTACTGCCACCCCCACGCCCACTCAACCTCCATATCCTCTCGTAGGGGACAGATTTGAGACTTCTTTCTGCCCATATCTGTTTGATCACCAAAATCTGTCTATCAAATCTACAAAATGTCTTTCAAATGTGTCCCCGTAGCCATCTCTACGGCTACTACTATTCCTTACACCTGAAATGCTATTCTCTACCCCTCTCCACTTTTCAAAATCT